GTGCCATTTGAAACATCTTTTTACTTAAATGCTTGATTTCATGCAGCAAGCACGTCATCTGGAAGCATGTCTTTATCCTCTTTCTTTATTATTTATTTCTACCTTACAACTCCAGTCTCAAGTCCTCCTAACTGGCGTTTATCCTCTGTCTCACTCTTCTCAAGTTTGTTAGACTATATCGAGGTAAGAGGCTTGATCTTTGATCACCAACTACCTTATTGACTACCTGTTTAATCTCACAAGCCTTTATCAGATATCTCCTAAGCTGTGCACATATACTTTTCCCCTCTGCCATGACTGTCATTTCTGATTGAAGTAGCTTTATCAACTTACTTGCATTATTATCCATCACATTAGTAAATTATTTAAAACTGCATTGGACCTCTTCTCTCAATCTCGTAAAATTGGTATTTATTGTTTCACTTTATCCGTATTTTCATTTGAGCTGTCGTTAGACCCCAATGATCATTGCATTGTTATTTGGGTATGAATTTATCTGTCTCCTAAACAATTGTCCCAGTACTGTACAGTTTCATTCCTATTCCCGTCTTTTTCTCGCACATCAGATTATTTCCTTTATATATGTTCCATGTTCGGCTTTTATCTTCATTAAACTTCAGGCAATCAGGGGCCTCGTCAGGGTAGTCTGGCTGGTGGCCGCCAAGCATTCTACAGACAGCAGCTTATAGAAATTCAGCAGAAACAATCGGGTGCTGCGGCTGCCGCCGTAGCTGCTGCCGCCGCGGCTAGTGGGGCCATAACAGCCTCCCCAATAGGCAGTGGCTCCCAGAGTACCTTAATTCCTTCTTCATTTTCGGATTGTGGGTTGGCTGTTTCTCTGGAGCCTTTGCAATCTGTTGCTACCGTCACTTCTAACAGTTCCACCGGGCTTACCAAGTATTTACCTCAGACGCCTACTCGTGATACTACCTTTTTGTCTGGTAAGCTCAATGGGTAGTTTATAAAAATCTTTTTATTTGAATCATAAATTGCACCTAGGGTTGAAGATCAAGATGGTGTAGCCTATTTATAGTCACGGTCTTCCTTCGTTGTATAGAACTTGTTTGGCCTTGTTTTTGCAACTTAGCCCTAATGGCAGGAAGACATAGAGGAACGTACTTGGTTCAAAGTCCATAGTATGCATGGTCATTTCCAGAGTCTGACCATGGACTTCGTACATTCTCAGACGTTTCGCCTGCTTTGTAGTCGGCATCGTCAGTGAATTTCGCCATTCCTAGCATCACACTACAACTCGTTAAAGAGACAATTGAAGTAGTTCCTTTGGCCAATTATCTGCCAAACAATTGTGGTATCTTTTCTATCCTGGGCTATTCACCTATCCTATATTCCCGTATCTCTCTTTCACTGTCACAATTTCTTAATTGATTATTTAAATGTAGTATGGTGTGCCCTTTTGAGCGGATTTCATGGGACCTCTTCACACTACCCCTACACTTGTGCTAGGAATATTGATCTGAGTCTGCAATATTATTCCGCGATTCCTTTCCCATAGGTCATATCAGAGTATCCCTCTTACCCCGTAGGATCCGTCTCGTATCTATCTGGTTCAGGTGTTTCACTCGACTCCTGCCACCCTATCTGTGCTACTCGAGGCCTTATTTATCACACTGCCTCAAGCCTTTGATGACATGTGCATCGTGGCGCACTCTCGATGCGCATCCTATCCTGCATCAGGTCCACTCCAATTTTTGCATTTGCTAACTCCAGCTACCTATTTTGTTTAAAACTCGATTGGAATCCAGGAGCTGCTCCACAGCCTAAGCTCATAGTTGGATATAAATCTTTTGTAATTAGACCCTTATCCTTTTTGTGTATCACGCCGGTTCATTACTTTGAACGGCTTCCTTCCTTAATTAACACTGAATGCGTTTACAAGTCGAAAATAGTCCTATGAAAAGGCGTTAAAATCATGTTCATGTTCAATTATCAATTTGACTAACCTTCTACCTTACTTGCCAGATTCGAATTCGATTCTTTGGGTCTCGATTACAAATTACTGTTTAAAAAATCCTTAAATGAAAAAAATAAAATACTTTTTCATTTATTCAAACTACTCATGCCCATGCAATGATTCTTTTTTATTACTATCCTTAGGCTCTTTTTTACCTTGGATGCAGCATTAAATCTGTCAAATCCAGACTCTTAGCTAAAATTTTTTCAGCCTTCTGGCTCCTCACCGTTAAGTTCACTAAATTAGCTGATGATTTAGATTAAGTTACTTAATTAAGAGTTACTTAATTAATTTAGAACGCCAGGCTAACTATTATGCTTGATCTTGATTTCCTGATCTGGATTACAGTAGCAACTTACCTAACATGGCATTCTTTAAGGTCGTCCTGCAGGCAAAATTAAGCTAGGGGAGCTGCAAAACAACTTCACTATAACCAGTGCGCTATAAGAGCAGTCATATTAATTTGGTTTTAGTATCTATTAGTTCCCTTTATCATTGTTTAAATCTAAATCTTCCTCTATGAGCCAAATATTTTCCATTTTTTCATACCCCTTAGTTCCTGATTTTATTACTTGCACTTTTATTCCTTAACCAAATTGAGCCAAGAGTTTGGATAAATACCATATTGTTTTCACACCCACTTTCTATTATTTTTAACTCTTTTCGATTCTTCTATTTCCATGCCTTCCTTGGCCGTGAATTTGATCAAGCCATTTGGATGAAACTATCGGTCAAGCTAGTGGATCTACTGGACTAACGTACAAGAATCCTATGTTTTCTCGGAGAATGATTTGATATAACCGTCAAGTGGCCCATTGTTTATATTTATTGTAGTTCAATAAGTGCCTGCATAAATACTAACTACCATCTCCATGGGACAATGACGCTGAGAGGATTTTCATTGCGTTTATATCTGATTTTTTAGTTTACTGTTTATTTATACTCCAAATTCTGTGCATCTTTATGTCTATTCATGCTTAGCCTTGCTTCGGTTTTAACGCATGGATTTGCCTACCTACTTTGTGTCCATATACCCTATAACTGATAGGCATGTGCACACCTCGTCCTGGCTCTCCCATCAATCAGCCTTTCTCTGGTTCCTGCCTTGAAGGACAGACATCGTCGTCAACCTCATCATCTGTTATTTCATCAGTCAATTTTCCTCGACCACAACCACCACCACCACCGCCATTGCCTCCTCCTCTGCCAGCCGCCTTCTTCATGGATTCGCGGACCTTACCCTGGAAGCCAAAAGTTCGTACTCGTGATCTCGAGGTAGGTTTTTAATTTTCATCTTTATATATAAAAGCTTATTTGGTTCCTTCGCCCAACAATCAATGACGGGTGATGTGATAGACATCGTCAGAATATGAAACTATTTTTTTGAAGACTATCAGACACTAAACAAAAGGGGTGACCGACAGTGATCCTACCTTTCTCTTATGGCATAACTTCGTCCACTTTTCGAAGCATTCCATGATTTTTTAGTTATTTCGTGTTTCTCCATCGTGTGGCAAATTGAAGTGGCTATAGAGGATGTGTTAAGTAGATGTTTTTTGACAGAGAAACTATTTCCTCATCAACTTTTGATCCTGCCTTGTTTATACGCATACTGATGTCCATTTGAGCGTTTTTTGTTTGTTTGCAATGCTCGTGAGTTGAGTGAGATTAAAGCCATATCCAAAATCTGGGCTATTCAAGGCTTCTATTGCTCGAAAGGTCTTATTGCTACCTCCGTTCTCCTAATCCTATTCAACAACCTCAAGTATTTCCCACTCAATTTATTAATTTACTATTTTCATTTTGTGCCGTTTATTTTTATTTTATAGAATCCCCAATTTTATGCTTCAAGGTAGAGTATCTTTTTCCTTCGATACATTGTGATTCAGACCACTCTATTGGGTGTCATATATTGGCTAAGTATAAGTCAGTTTAATTTCTGCAAGCTATTTTTATGTCAAGGTAAATTCTTTTGTATGAGTGGGCAGGTCTCATACCTAGACGTTACCAATTATGCACGAGACCTTGTAACACTGATCTAGGAAATGTGTCCGAAAATGTGTCAAAGGAAGGCATAAGTAATTACCATCTTAGTGTCCATCTATAGACATCGTTTATCCTTTTTCATAAACTGGCAAGGCATTAATATCAGGAAACGAGTGGAGTAGTCAGTTCACTTTGTCCTAAATTTCTTCTCATCCTTTTCATTAGTAGGTGAAATAGTTGTTGAATTGGATACAGATTAATTCGGGATAGACACATTGAGATCAATTTGAATGCTGTCATTCCTTCTATATCTGAATAAGTATGTAAAATGTTCGATTTTCTCAAAACAATTTCCATGTTTTCTGTTTGGTCCTTGCTTTATCGAATTATCATATGCTTTATCAGATATATCTTTATATAGCTGCATATTTCCATATATGCCTTCGAAATATCCCATGTACTCTTTGCTGAGCTTTGTGTTTATTTGTTTTCATTAGTTATTTTTGGATACAACGCGCATCAAGTTTCTTGGATTTCGTGTAATGCACGACACTACCTCCCTGGCTGGCCTCCCGGAGCCTATTCATGAAGCTGTTCGAGTTCTTCAAGCTCACTTATACGATTCTTTGGGTGAGGTGCAAATCAAGCGAGAAAATGACATAGTTCGCTTTCCTTTGTCTCTGGTAAATACACTTCTATTCTTTACTTGCTTTATGTACATTAAAGAGGACAGTTTTTCGAGGACTGCGCTTCATAGCTTGGTTTTATTTTCATTTTTCACTACTATTTTCATAGCATAAGATTACAATTTTGAGTATTCCTAAATTTATCTTAAAGGAAGATTACTTATTT